AAAATAATGTATTCAGCCCTTTTTTAGTAAAATCTATGGGAGAGATGTACTAACTCCAATATAAAAGTCATTCAGTATAACAGAGATTTCCCAATTTGAGAATCCAATGAATGCCCTTTTCCTTATAGCTATCTAAGGCCTGGTCTGAGCTTTTAATATATATATTGATATATATATATTTTTTTTTCAAATTCAGATGTCGTGCACTCTGATTGCGTTGCATCATGGTCGTTAAACGAAAAATAAGTCATTTGCATCCTGTCGTGGTCCAGCGAACATCTCTCGTAGCGTGAATAAACGTGGAATTTAATGGAAATTCACTGTCTGTTGCCGTTCCTTCGAAAGTTAAAAGTGTTTGCGGGCCTGTGCGACTCCTGTTATTCCTCCGTGATAAATTCGTTGTTAGGAGGCAATTCAGATTCAGAAAGAATCGAAACTGCAGTCTTGCCCGAGAATCTATTTGTTACGGTGACAAAATATTATTAATGATTGACAATGATCACAAACAAAGCATTTGACACTTTTAATCGTTTCATATATCAAGTTCATTAGGTTTCAGTTCAGTTAAGTTCTTACACGTGTTTGCTAACCAGTTTTATAGAAGTTACACCGAATGATCAATTTAACGGGAAACCAGCGACAGAAGTAAGTTTCAATTAGTTTAGCTTGTACTGTCGGTTTATTATCCACTTTTATAATCGGTGTTGTAAATACCCGAATGTTTCATAATTACATTGCTTAATTGTATGTTTCAGATCGAATAATTCCTTCAAATAAAATTGTTGATTATACGATTGATGGTTTCCCGGCGTTTTGTGTCAATTATCCAACGGTCCACTATTCATTTGGCAGCAGTTTCACACACAGCCGATGGTAAGTAATATCAGATTCGCGAGTTATTTAACGGGGAATCGTCCCTTGATATGCAAACGCATTCCAAAGAGGCAGCGACCCTCTAATACACGAACTATACGGGATTCGCGAAAGGAGAAGCCTTACACCTCCTAAGACCAAATTCGTCACGCTCAACGTTTAATAAAAACGTACAGAGTTTCAAATATGCTTAAATAATAGAGAATACCTAGAATAAGGTTTTGACAAACGTATCTCTGGAGTTATATTCTGCGGGAGAGACTGATATTTAAAAAAAAAGGATAGCGCGCACACATGAAAATATTACCTTTTGTAACACGATCTCATCCGGCTTTGCCAAACCTCAAGAACATACAGAAGGGGAAATGACACCTTAAAACTAACCCTTAATATCACATCGTAAACGGAAGTCATTAAAGGATATCCTAATAGCAGCTAAGCTCTCAGGTTAGAAGATTTAAAAGCGCAAGCGAATGGCAGGAGTCGCACAAGCAATCAACACAATCGACTACCTCTTGCTTTCCGGCTTACCCGGTGTGTCGCCGAGCGCATTGTAGAGTTATTCATTAGTCAAGTGATTCCGTTCATGGCTCAAATTCAACTGTCCTTCATTCAATGATCAAGATAGTAGATTTACCATACAACACTCGCGATAAGTTAATTTCCTTTTACTTTGGAAAGTAGATTTACAACACAATTGAGTATATAATAGTAAAGCTGTGTAACGCAACAATAAGCCTTTTCTCGGCCATAATCGGTCTCAAACACCCGCACTTAAAATGCGAGAAACACATGTACCGTTGGAGAGCGTTTGAGAGCGTTCGGTCAAAGCTGTTAAAGAAGGATCAAAGCAGCCATCCAAATCTTTGAAAGGCTCCAAACTACGATGTACAGCAAATTTGACTTTCTTGAAATATTTTGAAATATCTTGAAATATCTTGAAATTTATCCGGTCTCAAATTACATACAAAAAAGCAGTGATCGCGTTTGTCCTTGAGAACCATAGCATACGCGACAAATACGAACAAAAAATACTTTTATACATTCAGAATAAGTCAAATTACATTTACCCATGCTTTGATGTTTGAGTCAGCAGTGATATTGTTACAAGGAACAAGATTCTTTTCACTTTTAAGGGTTAAAGGTTGAGAGAATCTGGACATGGGCTATCTTGTAGCAAAGTTAGGGTGTCACAATTTACATATGACACAAGCCACAATGAACCACATCTCACACTAAGTCACAAGTCGCAATAAGTCAAAAGTCAATTGTTCCGGCGAACGCTTGGTAATTAACATTAACACCGTCCGTTGGGACGGCCGAACAAAACACTGAATGCTAGAATTTAAGTCTTAACATAAAAATTAATATTCGAGTCGGTCGTGTCACTTAGTTAGTTGTCGTTCAGTAGTCGCAGAGTTCGGACAAAAAAACAGTTCGTTTTCGAATTTTGTAATAGTTGTTGCATTTATCGTCGAAACATCAATCGCCTCAATACATATGACATATACATAGTACATGTACATGTATGTATCTCTGTGGACCTGTAATTTGTCCAATGCTTTCAACCTGACTCTGGTCAAGATTTGTTTTCAAGCACTCACATGATGATTTGAAATCCTGTCTTACTTCGCTTTTAACAGTTACCTCCATGGACTCCTCACCAAATGCACAGGGAGATACTAGTTCTCCATATGTCGAGGCAGTTGGAAGGTAACTGTTTCTAACTCAAATGAAGACGAATTTAGTCCAGTGAGTTTTAATTGTCAAGGGCAATTGTTATGGAAAATTGTTATACTGTAATACCTTAGCAAAGAAAACATGTCAACCATTATTTTCAGTGAAAACTTTTCCCACAAAAGTTTCACCGCATGAAATACTGGTGTCCCGAGGAATTTCCTCCTCAAATTATCTACATTGCCAAATTTCGCTTTTGAGAAATATTTATTTCCTTAGATTTTATGTTCAAACCCTGGCAGTCCAAAAAAGGATGCTCAATTTCTTTTTTCGTAGATGCTCTGTTATAGTCAAACTTGTAGAGAATTTCTTTGCACTGTAAACATTGTTTCATGTTGCCTTTCCTTTTAATCTTAAATCGCTATTTTTTTTCCACAATGTTATGGTAAAGCATGGGAGATCTAACTTCTTAGCCTCCACTGTAGATAAACAGAAGGCTAACGTTGATGTTTGATATTAAACCGATGAATTAATTCTAGGATAACTGAGTTGATTCAGAAGCGACAGAGGTCTCCATGGCTCTGGCCTGACATTGTTTACTTTTTGACGCCATCAGGGAGGGAACACAATCATTGTCTTAAGATTCTTCATGGTTTTACCAACGAGGTGCGAGTTCCAATGCGTAAAATTTTCTCCTATGCTGAAAGATTTAGTTAATTATGTTAACATAGTTTTGTTTTTCAAGATGGACATAGTCCTCTAACTGCTACTTATCTGATTCGTAATGGAAAACCAAACAAAACAAAACATAAACAACGAAAACAGTAAATGAGAAGTTGAAAACAAAGTCAAACAACAACTGAAAGAAAATAAAGAAATTTCATAATCAGGCCACGAAAGTTTTCGTAACAAAAGGACAGTTAGTGAAGCTTTTTAAAGCGTCTTCAATTCTACCGATTTAACGGTGGTGTCTCTGTGGTTATGACGCAAAACCACCAGATCATCGATGAGCGAATCGCCGACAGAGCAGCCAAAAAAAGTGACCCACAATCCGAAGAAAATGCTACTGAGCAGGGAGAAGAAGGTGAATTTAAAAGGAAGAGGCGTTTAGCTTTCCTCGATTTGCTACTGGAGGCCTATGACAAAGGAGAGATATCACGAGAGGGCATCAGAGAAGAAGTGGATACATTCATGTTTGAGGTTAGTGTCGCTTTAAAACCAGTTTCCAGTGGAAGTTGGTTCCTTGTCAAAGTCCATACTTGAATACTCTTTGTCCGCTTTACATCCACCCAGTTGTGGCTAAACACTCCTCCTAAGGTGATTCCTCAGAAATAAAGGTTTTGGAACGATGTTTCTTAAACTCTCTTTGAATGTTCCCTACTTATGTCTGTTTCGAGAACTACAGTAACAAAGATAGGTCTTTGCTCATTCTTCGTACATTGATTGGGTATATGTTCTAAAGAATTATAATTTATCCACAACTTCTCTAAAGTGTTTTGTGAACATCTAGTTTCGGCGTGGATGATCGACCTACGCGCCTTTTTATGTCCAGTGAGCTTGCCAGCAAGAAAAGACGCCATGTCAATGTTGCCAATTACGCCTAATTACGTGATGTTTTGCGTAGTAAAGGATGCTCGGTGCAGTATTAAGGAATCATCAAGTAACACATTTGCTGAACCAATCAATTAACTTGCAATGAACCCATCTGCTGCCCCAGGCAGTTTGTCAGTTTGTCTTGAAATTTTTCCTGTTCCCATTTATACTCTCAGCGTATGAGAGTTAATGTCAGTGATGGTGTAGTTTAAGGTGATTATCCATCCCTTGTCCTGTCTCCAACTCAGATCGTTCTGAGACTTGAATACGGCGTGCTTTTGGTTTTTTAAGTTGACCAACGCGGTTGTATATCAGTCAGCTGGTGGTAATTCAAATCTCAAGTCTTATCACGATTATTTTGTGACAAGAGCTATTTTTTGTGGTTACAATGAGTGTTAGCCTGAAAAAATTATTACTGGCAAACTCTAAGTCAGGGAATTTCATAACAATTCGGGCGTTTCTGGGAAGCAGGTTAGAGTGATACTCTGGTAACCCAATCCTGGAGTTATATGAAATTATCTTTGTTATTTGTAGGGCCACGACACCACAGCCGCTGGACTAACGTGGGCTCTCTACCTACTCGCCCGCCATCCCCATATACAGCAGCAAGTCCACGAAGAAGTAGATAAATTTTTCGGTGAGTGTCTCGCCTACGGTGTTCAAGGGCACTTTGCACAGACTCCTTTCTACCGATTTGTTTTCGTGTTGTTTACAAGAACAACAAAGTGCAAATTAAGTTATGATATCCATGCAATGGAGAAGATTTTGTTCATGCTCCATCTTGATTTTTCTTCCCATTGCACTGTGACCATACGCGACTTTGTTAATACTGGCGTCCGAAGGAACGCTGTTTTGTTTACTTATTCGTGATTGATTCAAACTCTACGATTAGATAATGACTACTATGATATTTAAACATTTTAGAACAGCGGCCAGAAACCCTCACGGGAGAGGATCTGAAGGATTTGCGTTACTTGGAATGTGTTGTTAAGGTATGGTACAACAACGTTACATTTTTGTGGCTCGGATTTTAACACCATACATATAGGGGTAGGGACGGAGAACGTATCGTAGGGAAGTGGTAAAGTGGTTATTTGAGGTTCGGCTCAGTTTGGGTTAAACAAGTTTTCAAGGCTATAAAGACTTTTTTTACATGAATGTGATAGAATGGCAACTACACCCGCCATCTATGAGCAGTTTTCATTCTATAATTTAACTTTGTAAGTAGATAGCGTTCGCTAACTAACTGCTACATGTTGATCTACTCTTCTTAATGTGGTAATTTACAAACTGAGTGCATCTAAATACTACACTCTCTGGCTTAGGAGGCCCAGCGCATGTTCCCATCTGTGCCCTTCATTGCAAGGAGGACGACTGAAGACTGTCACCTGGGTATGTATTTACGTCCTTGGGAGGGTTGGTTAGGAATTAGCAGCGCAGTCCTGAGATAATAAGCTGTCAACGTATATTTAATCGGTTTCTTGTTCGTTTGCCTTTGTTTCTGTTTTTGTGCCCTGTCTTGTTTTGGTTTAGTTTTGGTATGTTTCTTTTTTTCTGTTTTTTGTTCGTTTGTTTTATTGGTGTAGGTTTGTTTTTTCAGTGTTTCGATATGTGGTAATTTGTGTTGCTATTGTTTTGTTTGTTTGTTTATTTGATGGTCGGTTGTTATATTTGGAGAATAACGTGGGTAAGTTTCTAGAGAAACTGGTACTGCGTCGGTGGGGGAGTGTAACAAGATCATTTGGCTTTATTTCTTTATGTTGTTATTGGAAAACAGCAACGAATACCGTTATCATAGATGTGTTCTTAATGATGACGTGACAATGGTGTTTGTGCCAACCTTATTTTGTAAAGTTCTCAGGGAGGCTTAAATCTGTTTGAAAAACGTAAAGTAAAACAAGCCCACTTGCCTTGCAGATGGTTACCTGGCTCCAAAAGGTACTGCTATTGGAGTTTGTACAATCGGACTCCACAGAAACCCAAAGGTGTGGGAAGCGCCGCTCGAGTTTAACCCGGATCGTTTTCTTCCTGAGAACAGCCAAGGACGCCATCCATATGCATTTGTTCCTTTCTCTGCTGGGCCACGGAACTGTATCGGTAGGTTTTGTCAGGTTTTATATATGCAAAGCTTAAACCTGGGCCTAAATTTAGGGAGCGACGCAGGCAGAAACGAAAGAGTGAAAGCCTTTGTTACACCATGGAAGCTGAAAAAACTGCGACTAATCACATTGACAAAATTCTGTCGCAGAGACAAAAATTATCACAAAAATGTTCTGTGATTCCTTGCAGCGAGCTGACTCCGGCCGCAATTTGTCTCCTTGACTTTTTGTTGTTGTTTTTATTGTTGAAGCAGCGTGTTGTAGCACAGGTATTCCAAGCTCATGTTTTGAGAAGAGGGAAAAATGATCATCCACTCATTCCTTGAAACGTTACGGTGTTTTTTGCTTCTAAAGTGACTTTTTAGATTACTAGTTTCTTGGTATTGCTTGGAGCCGTTGAGAATCTTAAGATGTTAGATGTTGTTTGTGGGACCCGTTTATGATACTTGAATTGACCCAGCAAAAGCTCAAAAAAAGAGATATTGCTCGTTCAGTCATTTTTTTGTTTTGTTTTGTTTTTCTTTTTTTCACTGCCCTATCTTATTTTGTCCGTTAACCTGTCTTTTGTCCTTACCTTATAGGTCAGCGGTTTGCTCTTCAAGAGGAGAAACTTGTCTTGGCTCACGTGTTGCGTAATTTTACCCTCGACTCCACTCAGACCTTTGATGAACTCCAGACATGCGGAGAAATTATAACCAGACCAAAGAATGGAATATTCGTCTCTTTAGCCAAACGATGATAAGATATATATGTTATTTGCCGGCTGGGGGGTCCGTATAGTGAAAAAATGTGACCGAGGTCACAGTTTTTCACCATACGGACCGACCCTTAGCCGGTAAATAAGATATTTTTTTTTTTTTAACTTGACGAAATTCTTTCCGAAAGAACCCGAATGATTTAGGGCTGTAAATACGGCAAGATCTTCCATAAACTGACAATTTTTGAGCGAGTAACTGGTAGTTAAAATAGAGGTGATGCAAATTAAAGAGAGGTGATTTAAAAGGCTTCCAAACAAACTTTGAATCATTATTTTTACAAGTATCTGTCACAATCTGACACCTGTCAATTAGAGAGCGCGTAAGAAGAAAAACAGCATAAGAAGACTCGAAAAACAATGGAACTAGTTTGGCAAGGCTGTCACGACAATGTTTACTTCAAAAACAGTCAGTGATCTAACGGAAAGTATTATTCACTCTCATCGACGATCTATTAATGTACGTAGATTTACCTCTGTTCATTAAGTAAACGGCAAGGAAAGTAATTGTGAGTAAATTCATTTTCTTTTTATTTTTGTTGTTTATTTTTTTGTTTTTATTTTAAGTTGTGGCAGTTTGCTCGTTTGTTTGCGGCAATGGCGTGTGTAAACCTGGTCTTTCCTCCACAAAAACTAAATTCGAATGGCACACCAATGAGACACGAGGATTAAATGCGGCCTTTTCTCTATAAATTCCTTCAGTTTCTGTTGTGCAAGTTACGGTACAAATGTCCCAATTGAACGGACTTGGAAAGACTCACTGAGAGTGTATATTTGTTGTAGAACTGAAATTAAAACTTCGCTCGTTCTTTTAGTACGAACAAATTGTTTGAAAAAGTTCAGATATTAAACGAATGAAAGTTCCATCGTTCAGTTTAACTGTAACCAAATATCTCACGTTTTAACTTTCTAGGTGCTTTTTGTGAACGATTGAAATTAATTGCAGACGGCTTTTAGGCCGTTTGTCAATCAACATAATGACACTATTGCTTATATATACAAATTCATTCTGAAACCAATGTTTTTCCAATTTTTCGTATCTCCAAGCAGCATGTAGTATGCTATTTATCATTGAAGGTGATTCCCTTGTTTTGCACTGCGCGACCTTTACTGCGTATAACATTAATTGCGACATACAAGATGGCGGCCGTTCTTCCCGCTGGCGTGAAAAGAACAGACAAGGGCCGCTTTTGCAGAGCGGAAGCTTTTATTCGTAATAAGAATGCTGCAAATCGGCTTACATCTTCCTGGCCTGCTCTCGAAAAACAAGGAAATAAAAAAAAGGTGCGTGATCCGGAAGTCTGCAGTGGATTTCCACTTCGCGGCCGTCGAGTTGTAGAATTAAATGTCCTCGCTGAGGCTTTGGACGGGGGCTGTGAAGCCTGTGGGGCAGTTCTACGGCTCTCCTACTGCATAAAAGAAACAGTGTCTGGGCTAGGATCACTACTCTACATATGCTGTTCAAATTCCGAGTGTGGAGAGACAAATACCTGTGGAACAAACAAGACCCCCCGTAGCACCGGAGCAAGGAGACCAATCTTTGATGTAAACACGAAGCTCGCTGCAGGTTTGTTTACATTTAATATTGCTAAAAATATTGTTTTCCACAATTAAAGCATCCATTTAACATCTAGCCAATTTTTTAATAAGTTGAATCGACATATTTATATCAATGTACCATCACTTGGAGAGTCCACGCTGAAGGCTCGCGAGAGGGAAGTAGGCCCCAAATTGAAAACTTGGCAAAGGAATCATGTCTGGAAAGTTTAGAAAGCGAAAGAAACCAGTGGAAAGAGAATATTGAAAAGGAAAATGTAGCGATAGGAGCGTCATTTGACATGGGATGGTGAAAAAGGGGAAAAGCCCACAACAGCCCGACAGGTACACTACAAATTCTACATCTGAAAGAATAGAAAAGGGTGCATTTGGATATGCATTTCATAGAAAGCTGCTATTTTTTTTCTCTGGATTGTTCTTTAGCTTACTGACAGTTTTGGTGTTGGCCAATAGTCAAAATTAATTAAATAAATAATAAATAAATAAATAAAATATATCCTTATTTTCACTACTAGGTGTTGGCTCCATGGTTGGCCTAAAAACTGGCAAGGTGATTTGCTATGGTTCAAGGTCAAAAAGGTAATGTATATACATATATTTTGTCTACTGGTACTTTGTTGGAAACATCAAGAGCAATGTTTTTTCTTTCAATTTGACCACAAAAAGTACAGAATCATTCAACATATGACAGTACCCATATTTGCCTCCTCTTGAAAGTGTTACCCAGGACCTTAACCCAAAATGTCTTTTGTAAAGGTGTGCAACATGTGAAACTGCCAGCAGACAGTCAAAAAAGCCTCATATACATGACTGCAGGCTCAACTGGGAAGGCTCGTCAAAAGTCATGGAAGCTGATATTTGTGTTGATCTAGTCAAAAGGTAATTACTAACCAGGTATGTAATAACAAAAATAAAAAATAAAACAATAATTATAATAATAGTTGTTAACATGTTAAATTCACAGTTTTATTGCTACAAAGAGAGACTTGTGGAATCTGTTCTTATGATATCATTGTTACAGTGATGACACTTGAACCATGAACAGTGGGAAGTCTTACAGTACCTTACACCCTTGGTAATAATGACTGAAAATTTGACAAGAAAGCAAACATAAAAATGCACCTACACTTTTGAATGTGAGTATGTTAAAAATGCAGAAAAGATAATGGCTAGGTGTAGTTTGAATGCCCTCACTTTTTATGGCACAAAATGTTATTTTTGTGGTTTTACTCTGCTTAACAGTTGTGGAGAAAAAAATGCAGTTGTATCTGTTCTTGTTGGGGATGAGGATTCATCCACCATATGCAAAGTGAGGAAAAATGTTGAGCACGAGGTTGAAAAATGGTCAGACGTAGTCCATGCTAAAAGATCCTTTGGTAGCTCACTATACAGCATCAAGACCCAAAACAAAAGCCTGACAGATATGGTTATACAATATTTCCAGCAA